CCCTCGCCGTCCTACCCCGCCCGTGCAGCCGGGGCGTGTTCGTGGGCCGGAGCGGGGCAGCTCTGCGGGCGCCGCCCGAGCGCCTTGGCGCGCAGGGTGCGGGCGCTGCTCCTCTGCCCCCGAGCCTGGCGGGCTGCGATAGGCTTCACCCTGGGTTCGTGCGAGCCGTCCTCCTGCTCGTGGGGACGCTCGGCTGGGCTGGGCTGCCGGCGCAGGGCGCGCACTTGTGGCTGGTGGGGCCCCCGGCTGAAGACCAGCGGGAGACCCTGGCAGACCGGGTGCCTGCTCTTGCTTCTGTCCGGGGTGCTAGTTCTGATCCTTAGACCCAAGGCGGGGCCCTGGACGGCATGCGTAGCGCCGTGAGTAGCAGGGGCGCCTAGCTTACCCATACAGTACCTAACTGGGTATGTTTTTGTTTTCAGGTTGGAAAAATGCAGGGCAATAAAGGCTTTAACATGGATAAACAGAACCACACTCCAAGAAAGCAACATCAGCAACATCAGCAACCACCGATTCCTGCCAACGGGCAACAGACCAACAGCCAGAGTGAGTCGTGGGGTGGAACGGTGTCGTTTTGGGGGCCTTACATGCCCTCAAGTCTTTGCTGGGTATTTCACCTCACCCTGACACATTTTCTCTGTGAAATACGTCTTTAACGCGGTACTTCAGAGCTTGCTTTGGATTGTCCTCAGCTGCCCATCCTTACTTGTGGGACAGGGATTTAGAAACTTTTTTGTCCTAATTCTGGCCGGCTCACACAATCCATTGCATTATTTTTTTCCAAAAAGATAGTCAAACTTTTCACTTCTTTGGAGGTGGGGTAAATTGTGTGTCGCACTGCTGTCACAGGGTCACCCCAAGCCCCTCTCCACTGTTCTGCTTGTTTTCAGGGAGCAGACTGGATTTTTGCCCTTTGGGGTAACTGCCCCCAGCAGATCTCCGTCTCCTTGGCTCCTATTCAGACCTTCCAGCTCCAGCAGGGGAAAATTGGCCAGCTTGCAGAGTTAGCGTCTCTGATTTGCAAAATATTACAGATCTGCTGTTCTCGTAGAAACAAAATACCTGTAAAATTGTCTGTTGCTCTGATTTTCGCTCTTCCCACGTGCTGTCCGTAAGGTATAGGAAAATAGGGATGGAAGGGACTTTGTGTGATCATCTAGTCCAGCCCCCTGCTCGGGGCAGGATCGTGCCAGACTAAACTGTTCCAGCCAAGTGTCTGTGTAACTAGCTCTTGAAAGTGTCCAGGGGTGAAGATTCTGTAACTTTTCCAAGTAGTCTGTTCTGATGCTTGACTACCTTCACAGTCAAAAAGTTTTTCCTAGTCTCCAACCTACATTGCCTCTGCTGCAGCTCGAGGCCATTGCTCCTAGTCCTTTTCCCTGTGGCTGCAGAGAAAAGCCCATCTCCCTCATCTATAAAGTATGCTTTAACTATTTGAAGACTATTCAAATCCCTTCTCAGTCTTCTCTCCAACCTAAATAACCCTAGTGCTTTCAGCCTTTCCTCCTAAGTCTTGCTTCTGAGGCCCCTAATCATTTTTTTTTGTCTCTTTCCCCTGGACCCTTTCCAATCTGTCCATGTCTTTCTAGAAGTGAGGCCAAAAACTGGACACAGCCTCAGCCTCTCTTCTCACTAGAAAACAGTCCCTCAGTGAGTCTTGTCAGTGTTTCCAGTGACCAGCTTCCCTGTTGGCACGAACAACTGGGGGGGCAGGACTCATTCTCAAGGTGTGGGTATCCCTTAGATGCTCTTTTCCCCATCAAGCATCTCTTGAATACCTTACTGCTTTCCCCCATCTTTATTTCTCTTTCCAGTCCTTTGGGGGGAAGTAAGGGGGAGCAGGTGTCTTCTGTCAATGATTTCTTCCTGCCTGGGGGGGTGTTTTTTTTCCTGACAATGGCCCTTCCCCTTGGAATGCACTGTTCTGTGTTTGGAGCTAGCACTTCTCATCCTGTGGGCTAATTTAACCTTTATCCAGTGGTGTTGACAGCTCTGGATTGGTGAAATTGTGATAATAATTTGGACCTCAAGGAGTGGGGTTTAATGGCCTGGGGGGGGTTATGGGGGAAAGGGGGTGTCTTGTTCAGAAGCATGACGGGAGGGGATTGGAACTCCATTTCTGCGTATGGCTTGGGGAGGTGGCTGATTACATTAATTCATCTATTTAATACTAACGCGGTGCTTTGGGAAAAGTCTGCTAAGTGCCAAGTAATTTCTTGTGTTCTGCTTTTCTTGTATTTTCCTTCATTGCATTACCTATCATCTGTTGTGGGCCATGTCACCTGATTGTCTAGATACTGACTGCATTTTTTACTAGACCTCTCCTATCTTATATTGGTCATATTCTCTCTGTGCTGTTGGTGTAGGTGAAACCTTTTCTAAGGGGAAGTACAAATGCCATCAGCTTTACTACACCAAATAAAATTCCTTTATAGTCCTATTACCCATTTTGCACTTTTAGTGGGAGGCTGTTTCCCTGGTCTCAGCATCATGTGCAGACCTGTTTCCATTTGAGTATGGAATAAGGTGGCTGGCTAGTCTTCGCTCTGCTTGACTGGAGAAGTAGGACTCTGACATTCACGGTGAGGTCATCTCAGAATGACTGGCCTATATCTTGGCATTCTTTGGTTTGTTCCACTAAGGACAGGATAGTGGCCATAAGAGATCTCTAACGTCAAGCGTCTGTTAGCATATTCCTGTACCTGATGGCTGATATCCAAATGCATCTTTATGAGTCTGGCTTGGACCAATTCAGAAGTCAGATGATTTCCCATGTTTCTCTCACTACTATTTGGAAACCTTCACGCTTCATCCTTCACTATGCTTTGATTCATGTATCATTAATTTGTCGGTGCGTTGGTTCTATTCTAGCTGCTCAGTGTTGTATAAATATAGACCGAAAAACTTGCAGTTGTTGCTGAGGTCCCACCTGTGGGTTTCCTGCCATTCTCACCATTCCAGTATCCTTGCCAGCTTGGAAGCGTGTTCTGGAACCTGGGTCCCATCTCTTGCTTTCCCAGGCTGTGTATGGGAGATGTTATCTGTGTCTTTATGCAGTGTTTGATGTGATATAATAAGGCTTATCATTGCTGCTGGGCATTATTTCCCTCAGATGAAGGTCTGACAATTGACCTGAAGAATTTTCGGAAACCTGGTGAAAAGACCTTCACCCAGAGGAGCCGTCTGTTTGTGGGGAACCTGCCCCCAGATATTACAGAGGAGGAGATGAGGAAGTTATTTGAGAAATATGGAAAGGCAGGTGAAGTCTTCATACACAAGGACAAAGGCTTTGGCTTTATCAGGCTGGTGAGTGGTTACTGCTACTTTTGGGATGTCCTCTGGTACTAGGGAGTGATGCTTATTGGAAGTACAGATGAAGCTTAGCTATCTTGTTAGTGTTCAGCCTGCTCTCACTAAGCAGGTGTTTTTAATTTTGGTAGTATGGAATATGGGGTCAACTTGAGCAGGTGGTGTAGGTGGAACATTTCCTAGGGGGAAGTACAAATGCTATCAGCTTCACTACACCAAGTGAAGTTTGTTTATAATCCCATTACCCACTTCTTATGCAAGTCCCTTTACAGTCCTGTCCTAGCTGGAGAGAAAGAAAGTGCAAACTAGCTATTGGAGGTGGATCTTAAATCAACTGGATATACCAGGATATCTGTAGGAGTGAGACAGGGATATCAGCCTTTCAGAAGAATAGGGAGAGTGCTTCTATGGCTTTGAGAGTCCCTGCTTTATGGCATGTTTGCATGGCACTAAGTGAAATAGTTGCTGAGATCTACCCTTTTCCATGGGCAGGAGTGAGGCTGGGACCTGTCAGACTCGGGTGTTCTCACCCTGAGGAAGGGCACTTAGTGCCAAAGGCTGATTGACCACCTCTCCTACCTATACAGTTGGCTCAGTCAAAGATACTCCCCTGCAGCTGCCACCCCCCCGGGTCATTTTTCACGTGACCCACCTTGCCTGCTACAGTGCCTAAGAGTCCACTTCTGGGTTTTGGTGGTAATGTATACGATTTTTCAAAATGTAGGCCCTAGACTCTTGCTCTTGGAGCCTGTGCAATACAGTAGGCATAGTGTACTCCCAGGTTGTAGACTGAATCTAATCTAAGCCAGCCTTAGGCCTGTTTGATCCAGCTCTGTCTTGGAGAAAACTGGCAACCAGTCATTCACTAGCTGCACAGTGCAAATCATACGGGTAGAAAGGGTAGGTTTGTGTTTGAGCCCTTGGGCTGGGGCTTGTTCCTGTCTCTGAGAACCCTTTGTCTGACCCTGGGAATTTGCATTTTCATGTGTGCCTCTGGTTCCCCATCTGTAATACAGGAATAGTAATGACCTGTCTCACAGGTGCTCATCTTTGGGGGCGGTAAAGCCCATGGCAATATTTATAAATAAATACAGTTAAATGATACGATGTGACCTGTCTTTGTCCGGAGTCCTTTCTTGCTCTGATATCTTGTCACCTCTCCTTTTTTGCTGATGGGAAATTGACCTTTGTGTGATACCTAAGAACAAAGATTCTTAAGTTTTTTAATGTTTTTGAAATTTTACAGCATATCAGTCCAGGAATTGTACATCAATAAAGGAATCTCAGATGCACAGGGTTGGAAGGGGTTTTGTGGGGGAGGTTGCTTGAGGAAGAAATCAATTCTTTTTAAAGGCTTCTGCCATTGGAGGCAAGGAAAGACCACCCTAGCAGTGTCATGACATTCCAGTTGGCAAAGGGAGGTGTGGAGCTGGGCCCATGTACTTGAGTTCTTTGTAAGGGTGAGAAGCTGGAGAACAAAGTTACAAGGTGGCATTTAACACTAGTTTAAATAAAGCTAAATTCAAATAATATTTTCTCATTTTACCTTTGTAATCTCATGTATTGAGCATTTCCTATGTCAGTCATTAAACTAGGCTACTGAGAAAAACCTGGGGAAGTGCAGCTCTGATTTTGCTTTCCGCTGTTAATACTAACAGTCTTGTGCACTGACTGTAGTTCTTGTAACCTTCCTTTAAGCATTGTGCCTTGATACCTGCTTTCTTTTCTCCCTCCAAGCTTCGTACGTGCCCACTGAATGAGTGCAACTCTGACACCTTGGAAAATGGTCAGAGAACTGTTTTGTTTTGTTTGTTTGTTTCATGTTACTGGGGCATCCTTCATTGCACTATAAATTAGGGTTTGTCCAGGAGGAAGGCTGGTCTTCAGGCCGTCTTCTCTGTTTCTGTGCCTTTCTTTGCGTCTCCGTGCTGCATCAAGTTTTAATGGCCGCTTTCTTATCTTCAGGAAACTCGCACTCTGGCAGAGATTGCAAAGGTGGAACTTGACAACATGCCTCTGCGTGGGAAGCAGCTAAGAGTGCGTTTTGCCTGCCACAGTGCATCGCTGACCGTCAGAAACCTGCCTCAGTTTGTGTCAAATGAGCTCCTTGAGGAGGCCTTCTCGATATTTGGCCAGGTGGAGAGGGCTGTGGTAATTGTGGATGACAGAGGAAGATCTTCTGGGAAAGGCATTGTGGAGTTCTCAGGGAAGCCAGCTGCCAGAAAAGCCCTGGATAGATGTAGCGAAGGGTCTTTCCTGCTAACTACGTAAGTCTGGAGGCAAAAAGTGTGTCTCTGGTATGTTCACAGCTTGAGAGAAGGTGCTGGAATAGGTGTGATATGGAGTGAAATATGCTTTACCATGAAGAATCCTAGTGATTTTATATGCCATGCCTGGACCATTTTAAAACCCCTCAAAAACTGTGCACAAGAGGCATGCCTGAAGCCTTTCTGGAAACCACCTGTGGGGTCAATGTGCTAATTTGGGAGCTGCTGTTGTATATGTGTCCATATTGGCAAAGCCTCCCAAAACAGGCCTAAAGGGGCAGAAGCTTGTTTTAGGGGCTGTCCTTCCTGTTTTTAACGCAGTTAGCCAATGAATAAGGCTTAAGTATGTTAGCTGGCCCATCTGGATTCCCTTGCAGGCGAGTGTAGAAACAGCTTTTACTTGCAGTACATACTCCTGCAATGGAATCTTGTACCCAGTTCCTGGGCCTCGGCAAGTCTTAGGGTGGTAGTAGAGCATTTATGGGAGGGTCTAACTCAGGAGGGCCCTTTGTTCCATTGGTTCGACAGCTACTGAGGCCTGTCACTAATGAGCCCCTGCCACAGCTCTGCTCTGGCCGTACCACCCATTGGGGAGACCTGCAGGCAGCAGCTGCGACTTGGGCGCTGCTGAGGGGGGCAGGCGGCTGCAGACCCAGATCCTTGGCCTGCCCACAACTCTGTGATGCTCCCTGCCCAAGCCCCAGGCCTGATGCACCACCCTGTCTGGGCAGCACCCCCAGCCCTGGCCAACTCCCCTCCCTCCCTCATTATGGGGGCCTCAATCCCACCCCCCGCCCCCAGTTTACCTGCAGGGAGCTGCTCTGCAGGCTACTTGGCTGCCACATGCATATGTGCACATTCACATGGCACCTTCTTTCTGACTGCCCTCCTTCTGCTCCCCCCAGCCCCTTGCAGGCTGAAACTCTGCACGTCTGCAGGGGGAAACCCACCGTTTCCTGTATTTTTCCCCTTAAAATGTGAAAATCTGTATTTTGCCATGTTTTTCCGTGGTGAAATACACCCCTGCTATAGTTTTATAGTAGCTAGGGTCAGGAGGAACCTGAATAGATCATCTAGCCTGACCCCCTGCCACAGGCAGGAATGAATGCTGGGTTCACAAGACCCCAGACAGGTGATCATCCAACCTCCTTTTGAATTTGCCCAAGATAGGGGCGAGGACCACTTCCCTGGGAAGTTGGTTCCAGATTTGGGCCACCCTAACTGTAAAATATTGCCTTCTGATCTCTAACCTAACCTATTCTCCATCAGCTTATTACCATTGTTCCTTGTCACCCCAGGTGGTGCTGGGGAGAAAAGGGCTCTACCTCTTTGCTGTTGATCTCCCCTGATGAGCTTGTAGGCAGGCACTAGGTCTCTCCTCAGCCTCCTCTTGCTGAGGCTGAACAGGTTCAGGTCCTTCAGTCTCTCCTTGTAGGGCCTGTCCTGCTGCCCTCTCACCAAGCGGGTGGCCCTCCTCTGAGCCCTCTCCAGGCTGGCCACATCCCTTTTGAAGTGCAGCACCCAGTACTGGACGCAGTACTCCAACTGTGGCCTGACCAAAGTCGCATAGAGGGGGAGTATCACCTCTCTGGACCAGCTTGAGATGCACCTTTGGATGCATGACAGGGTATGGCTGGCCTTGCTGGCTGCGGTCTGGCATTGACGGCTCATGTTCATCTTGGAGTCAGTAACGACTAGTAACACTAACGGTGTCATGCTTTGGGGAGACCTAAAGATAAAGCTCTTTTGTCCTTTTTCGGGGTGAACAATCAGTATGTTGTGCACATGAGGTAGGAAGAGAGTAAAAGCACAGGGTGAGTTGTGCTTGCTCTCTTAAATGTTAGTTTTATTTGTTCTCACTACCACTGTCTTACCCTTTTCTGGAGGAGTGGGAGATGGCACTGCCAATTCAACTAGTAGGAGATGACTCGGGTGCCTTCAGTTTCAGAAAGCAGCTAGCTTTGTTCATCTGGGGAGAGGTGGGCATGCTAGAAGGGAGGGACAGGCTACAGCTAGATCTGGGCAGGTTACAAGGGTGAGTGGATGAGAATGGGATGGGATTCAATACTGACAAGTGCAGGGTACTGCACCTAGGGAGAAAGAACCAGCAGCATACCTACAGGCTGGGGAACTCCCTTCTCATCAGCACAGAGTCCGAAAGGGATCTTGGAGTCATTATTGACCCCAAGATGAACATGGACCACCAATATGAGGACGCGGTCAGTAAGGCCAACCACACCTTGTCATGCATCCACAGATGCATCACAAGCAGGACCAAGGAGGTGATCCTCCCCCTCTATGTGATATTGTTCAGGCTGCAGTTGGAGTACTGCGCCCAGTTCTGGGCGCCGCACTTCAGGAGGGATGTGGCCAGCATGGAGAGGGTCTAGAGGAGGGCCACGTGCATGGTCAGGGGGCAGCAGGGCAGGCCCTATGAGGAGAGGCTACGGAACCGGGGTGATAGCGATCATCACCTACTGGAATTCACCATCTGGTGCAGGGTGGCAAAGGCTTGTAGCAAGACAGCAGCCCTGTACTTCAGGAGGGCAGATTTCATTGAGCTAAGGAGACTAGTCGGGGAGGCAGTGAGGTCCTGGAGGGGTGGGGAGTTGGGAGTCCAAGAAGAGTGGTCGTTCCAAGCCCAAAGGGTAGCAATCCAAACACAGATCAAAGGGGGCAAGAGTGCTCAAAAGCCCCCATGGCTTACCAAAAGCATCCAGGAACGTCTCAAAGCTAAAAAGGCGTACACCCAATGGAAGGGAGGGGCCGTCACCAGGGAGGACTATACCTCTGTTGCTCAGGACTGTAGGGGGGCTGTTAGGAAGGCCAAGGCAGAGATGGAACTGGGACTAGTGACCTGGATCAAGGATAACAAGAAATCCTTTTTTAAATACATAGCAGGTAAAAAGAAGGTTCTGGGTAACGTGGGGCCTCTGCAGGACACGCTAGGAAATCTGGTATCTCACCAGATGGCAAAGCTAACCTATTAAACAATTTCTTTGCCTCCATTTTTCTGAGCAGGGACCAGGTCATCCCCCCCACCAGGATCCCTGATGGTCCCAGGGGAGGCACATCCAGGCCCAGGGTCAGAGAGGACCTAGTTGGGGAACTCCTGGAGGGACTGGACGTGTTCAAATCAGCAGGTCCTGACGATCTCCACCCCATAGTGCTGAGGGAATTAGCAGAGGTCATTGCGGGACCCCGGCACAGTTTTACGAGCACTCGTGCTCTGGCGAGGTGCCAGAGGACTGGAAAAGGGCCAATGTGGTCCCCATTTTCAAAAAAGGGAGGAAGGAGGACCCAGGAAATTATAGGCCTGTTAGTCTTACCTCAGTCCTGGGGAAACTCTGTTAGAAAAATATCCAGGTGCACATCTGCGAGGGGCAAGCAGGGGAGTGTATGCTTAGGGGCAACCAACATTGGTTCATTCGAGGCAGGTCCTGTCAGACCAACCTGGTGGCCTCCTATGACCAGGTCACAAAATCCTTAGACTTAGGTGTAGCAGCGGACATAGTCTTTCTGGACTTTAGGAAGGCCTTTGACACCATCTCTCACCCCATTCTCGTTAAAAAATTAGGAGATTGTGGTGTCGATGCCTACAGAGTCAGGTGGGTCGCCAGTTGGCTGGAGGGCTGCACCCAGAGTGTGGTGGTGGACGGGTCTTATTCGACCTGGAGGGACGTGGGCAGTGGAGACCCCCAGGGCTTGGTCCTCGGGCCCACACAGTTCAACATTTTCATCAGCGACTTGGACGAGGGGGTGAAAAGCACCTTGTTCAAATTTGCAGATGACATTAAGATGTGAGGAGAAGTGGGCATGCTAGAAGGGAGGGACAGGCTGCAATTGGATCTGGACAGGTTACAGGGTTGGGCGGATGAGAATAAGATGGGATTCAATACTGACAAGTGCAGGGTACTGCACCTAGGGAGAAAGAACCAGCGGCATACCTACAGGCTGGGGAACTCCCTTCTCGTCAGCACAGAGGCAGAAAGGGATCTTGGAGTCATTATAGACTCCCAAGATGAACATGGGCTGCCAGTGTGGGGACGCAGTCAGGAAGGCTAACCGCCCCTTGTCATGCATCCACAGATGCATCACGAGCAGGTCCAAGGAGGTGATGCTCCCCCTCTATATGACATTGGTCAGGCCGCAGTTGGAGTACTGTGTCCAGTTCTGGGTGTGGCACTTCAGGAGGGATGTGGACAGCATTGAGAGGGTCCAGAGGAGGGCCACTCGCATGATCAGGGGGCAGCAGGGCAGGCCCTATGAGGAGA